CCATAAAGGCAAGTCCAGCATCTAATGCTCCAGATAAAACATAATTATATCTCTGCCACAAATGAGGTTTATATCTATATGCAACAAACCCAGAGAGGAAACTGCAAAAACCCATGTAGTGTAATTGACTGCGGTAGCTGGTGGCATCATTTCCAGTAGCACCAATTAATACCGGTATATTGATTAGTCGAATCCAATGTTGGTTCGGAAATACCTTAGACACCAACCATACAATAAGCGGAGCAATTGCCCCTGCAAGGAAAAACCAATTTACTGCTTCGTATGTCCCTAAGTCTCCAAAAATTCTTCTAGGCCCTATCAGACCCCAAATCACAGATGCATCGTAGAACACTCTATCACTTGGACATGTCCACACTCTAGTTGAGGATGATTCACATATGTCAGGTATGGTTTCCATTAACCACCATGCAGTTCCCAAATAGACAAAACAAGCTATGAGAGTTCCCACTATCTACACAGATCATAACATGAGGAATCGTGTCATAAATATATAAATATATCTGTGTATATGTTAATAATATAGTATCAACTAACCTGGGCCATAAACATTGTCCTAGGAGGAATTTTCATGTAATGGCCGAGCTTGAAGTCTTGCAAGAATGTAATGGCCTGAGTCATACTTATATATCCATACACCTTGAAGCAAATATTTGCAACTGGATATCCGGGATAAATATATCCGATGATGTACTCAGTAATGATGTTCAACCCAGGTGACTGTCATTAACATTCAAATTTTTTTATGATCATCTTATAAAATAAAAAAAAAAAATTAAGTAAATATACCTGATTTGTGATGGCAGTAATGATCCCAATTGGAAGAGTGAAAACAATGGCAATTAGACAAGCTAATAAAACACCCCACCATGGCAACTGAAGTTGTTCATTGTAATATTCACAAGCAAAAATGGTGGTTGCAATGTTAACCATAAGAATAAGCACAAACCACCATTCTGGAACTTGTTTATATCTTTTCATAAGCTTTGTGTGTATATCCATCTCCTTCCCTTGAAAACTAGCCTTACTTTGTTCCCAAATTTCTCTGCAATTAATATTTCAAGACTGATTAACATGGATACATAATGACATACATAAATATAACTTCAAGATTTGCTACCTTCCATGGAACAATGCAACATGTACAATAGTAGCAGTTAATGCAGCAAAGCCAACACCATAGCTGATAGCGAAGAATGTGCTGAGATAAAGCGGTCCTTCTTTTTCGTATGCTGCCATGTCAAGATGGAAATTGGAATCTATAATGGATGTTATATTATATTCTTGAC